TCTCGCTGCTGATCTAAAATGAGTGAGAAACACATCTAATATTTTCCTGGCTGTTTCTTACCTCATGTAACTGAGTGCCTCCTCTTGGTATACTACATGTATTTTATAAAATTGCTTTAAATTGGACTAGGACAGTTGTCCAGTTTTCATGGCGTGCATGTAAATATAGTGAGTGTCACCTCAGTGGTCAACTCCACAGGCTCATTATCATCTCCGTGAGGCAGATGGGATGTGGAGAATAGTAACACTTCTGCTACTGCTTCTGAATACTCAATATTACTATTATTAAACTAGCCCTATGTTAGCTCAAGCTACTGCTGGGCCAAAGGTTATAGGGGTCAAAACTGTGCACTCTGGACGTCACTGTTTAGACAATCTAGTTATTGTCTCTCAATATTGATACAATTTTAGTCAAATCAATATTGTTAATTACAAATCAACTTATAAACAAAGGACATGTACATTATTCTATCTGGTAACAATTATAGTTGTGTTGTGGATAGATAATTATTCTTTTCAGTTCAAAAACTTAATTTAAACAATGAGCAGCAGTACAAGTTGGAAAATATGAGCGTAACTGAAAGTGGTCACAGTATTACTGTAAAGTATGTGTCATAAGAAGTGGTCACTGGTTAGTTTTTAAGGCTTTGGGATTTTCTGATTAGTCAGTATCATTATTGGCTTATAGCAGCCTAATCGAGTTTTATCGATTAGGCTTTGTCATATGGGTTCTCTGTATATATGATTAACAAAAAAGCAACAGCAGTAGGATGTTGTATTTAAGCTACACCTACAGTACTGTAGTTCTGTGCTACAGGAAGATCAGCCATTGCTTAGAAAAGTGTAGCACTTCTTGCAGTCCTCATTATTTGTATTCACTTGTCTTGTTTGTTTCAGTTTTGCCTTATACTCCCTTTTCTGAGCTCTATTTCCAGGGCAGGAAAAGCCTCTTACAGCCAGCCAGACGACTAATAAGGAGAGGCTTCTGTCGGCCAATCCCCCTTAATGCTCCAGCACACGGCATTATGGACAAAATAACCCAATAGGCGCGCACTTGCTCTGCCCAGGTCGCTCCCGAAAAGGCTACAAACGGAGTTACGCAAAGGAGAGCTAGGTCTCAAAAAAGAAATACTGTGCACTGCCTAAAACAGAAGTAATTTCTTTTAGTTGCAGTTGAACCTGAGTGATGGGCATAAACAGACACAGCAGCAGTGAAGTGGAATAGTATCATTTAGAGAAGTGGGGATGCCCTGCACTCTCAGTTTAAATTACACAATGTTTACACAGAGAGGGAGAGATCCTAAGTAAACACAACACATAATGGAAAACATACATATTGAGGAAGACCTAGTTCAGCAACAGCCAATATCTGCCTCCTCCTGCTTTCATATATATATGTGTGTGTATGTATGTGTGTGTGTGTGTGTGCGTGTGCGCGTATATATATATATATATATATATATATATATGGACAGGAGGAACTCTTATATACTTGAAATGCACTGAACTGAAAAACTAGAGATAACAACTTATAGTTTAACCTTAAGCACCATAGAGACTATAGTAATATAAATTTATGTGTGACAAAATATGCGGCCTTTCTCCTCCACTTAGTAAAACTAAAGGTTACAAAGAGTAAACTACAATAATTACCAATGTGAAAGAAGTAAATACTGTGAGCGTGTTTTCCCAGACTGCTTTTTGAAACTAATAGTAATATCAGAAGGGAAGCTAATGCTGTGGTGGCCAACAGCAGCATGATGCACTGTTCACTAACACAATTACTGAAGGCAGCCTGACATTACATGGGCCTAAATGTGAAGGATCTGCTTAGGCTATGCATGTACAGTGTTCAGAAGGCAAATGAACAGACTGACTGAAAAGATTTTGAAGGATTAGGTATGGGCGATATATAGGTTCTAATAACAGTATCAGAGGGTGGATTATTAGATTAAGAGGTGGTATATGATAATCATCACAAAAAGTACAACTAACCAATTACAACAAATCTGGGAGAATACATTTTGTTTCAACTTCAGCAAAAGGGAAAACTGAAAGTGGGAACTATTTTGTGAGCTTTGCTATTTTACAGTAGCAGCAAGAGCAAATTGGGGCATTGGTTGAAAATAGATCCATATTGGACCATCCCTATGAAGGATCCATGATGGGATGATGGCTGAAAGACTTGCCAATGTGCTTTCTCTCTCTTTCGCTCTCTCATTATGCCCAAACCTACCTGGAGTCTTTACATTAACTTTATTAGTTTATTACTATTTAAAAAGTTTGTTTTGTCCACAGTAGCGGTCCTTGTGCTACTTACCTCTATCTGTTTATCTGTGCAAATTGAACAGTGAGAGAAGCATGTTTTATATTCGAGCAGCATCAGACGATGAAAGGGCTTTGATCAGTGTTTACTCCTGCAGGTGGAACACACCAGGAGCAGTGCATGTTTCATGTGTTTTAGGTCCTAATGCTGTTTAGATGCAAAGATTATGTATTGATAGAACATTTATAAATAATTATGTGCATTCATTAAAAATAAAAGTACTTCTTGTGGAAAATATCAGTGACTTGCTTTCCTCATTTGATCAGATATCATATGTGACAAACTAAATTTTTGACATTATAATATAAGTCTGGGTAATATTTTCCTTGTATTGATCATGATAATTTTCTATTGGAAATAAATCTCTCTTTTTTTTTCCTTTTTAAAAACAAATGGAATTTGTGAAATATTGATTTCATGAACATAAACAAGGCAGACCTTCAGTGGTATTTGAGATATTTTTTTTACTCCAGAGTCTGAAATCATCCAAAACACATGCTTTTACTGAGCCATGGATCTGGTTGTAGACCCCCCAAAAACAGATTTGTTGTTGACAAAACACTGAGAAGTAATTTCAAAAGTGAATGATAATTAAGTATTACAGGTTTGAGTGAACTGATCAAACAGCTGCCTCCATGTTGACCAGCACCCAATCTCTTTTAGACTGAGGAAAAGGTTGTCAAGTATGCAGAAGGGTGAGACATCTAAGAATAGATAAAAGGACGGACAGTACTCTTGGAACAGACAAAGTGTGACCAGTGTCTACTAGATTAGCCACATGTGCCTTTTTTACTATAAACATACAGAGCCCAAAAGATAATAACATACACATTGCCTTTGATGTCCTGCTGCACAGCTTAATTTTCTGTGCTTTCATATTTCCACATATGGTAATTCTCCTCTTGGCACTGGGCACTTCAAAGCTATGGACTTCCTCCTCACAATTCCTCTTGCTTGATCACCCAAGACAGAATTCTTTGCATATAGTAACTGAAACTAACTGCATAAAGGTAAACTTACACACAGAAAAATCTGATGAAAAGTTTTCTAAAACAGAAACAATTTTTAGATCGATGGGGAGAAAGAGTGCCCGGAAGAAACCCACCCATACCCACACATAAGGTTAGAAACATGCAAGCACAGCACAGAGACAAGAGTACTGGTCACTGTGCTGCCAATGAGTAGTGCATTCAAGTGCCACACTCAGCTTGTTGATGAAAAAGCATGTTGAGGTTTGTGTAAAGTTTGCTGAACAACATTTAGAACAACTGCCAAACTTTAGTCATGTCAAATGAGACCAAAACTGAACATGTTGTTTGGGGGTGAAATGATGCAGCACAGCACCCAAACTAAAAAAATGCCACATTGAGGTTTGGCAGTGAAAACATCCTAGCATGGGGCTGTTCACAAACATAAAAGAATTTCTAATGTCAGTGAAGGGAAAGATGCAACAAACACCAGGTCCAGACCTGAATCCAACAGAAAAAATTGAAAAAAAAAAAGTAATGTTTCGTATCGAACAACGGGCCAAATTCACATCAAACAAAATATATAATTTCTAAACACATGAGAGGCTTTGAAGCTTAAATTGCCAAGAAGCATTTTTTCTAGATTAGTATTGTATGCTTTTTCATTAAAAAGTCAAATACCTATTTCACATCAGTACATGTAATTGCATTATGTATACGTTGATTACTTAGACTGTAAGCAATATTTGGTGACTTTCATGTCAATAGCTTAATATGAAAAAATATACTGAGTGCTGCAAACCCCTGGACACCTTTCAGGGCATGTCCCATGGGACAAAGAATCCATCTCAAAATATTCCACAACAGACATTGTATTGTTGTTGGTAGAATAGATAAACTGTTACTCTGTGTTTGTCGTATTAACACAATTTTTAAATAAATGGCGAAAGCAGAAAATATTTGCATTTGAAAACTGTGTTATAATTGTTTCAGTCAGGTGATGAAATTAAATTACTAATCAGACACTGCTGACTTGACTGAGAGACATAAACCTACCTCAGACCTATAGGCTATTCAATCTGACAATGGAGTCTAATTGTGTCTATTTGGTTTATGGCCTATGTTCACTTTCAACAGCAGCTGCCAATCTCACTGGGGTGTCAGGCTGCTGCTGGCATTCACATACACGCACTTAAACACACACACATTGACCGAAAATCAATAGTGGCCCCGGTCCCCCTCCCCCTCCACATGCTCCAGCACAAGGATACAACACCATGGGGAGATTTATGCACACGAACTGTTGCGTAGGTAAAGTCATCTCATTATTCCTCTGCCATTGTCCATTGTGTACTAGATAGCCCACTGTAAAGGGTAGATTTGTGGACATGTTACATATGGACTACAGCGCACTGTCCGGGAAAGAGCAGGCTATTTCATCCCATTTAGGCCTACACTAACAAGACCTGACATCATTTAATAGCCACACTCATTGACACGGGGGTATACCTGGAGTACGAGTATACAATAACAACCACTCACGTGCAATTTAAGTCTCTATGTCCCTATGGCTCTACGATCGCTAATCTCCAATAAATGGTGCCACATGTCTGACATTTGAAGCTCACAATCAGATGCGCATTGAAACTTGTCAATCAATTGGTTGTAACAAGTCTGAACGTGCAATAGGGCTGTTCTGCACTCACCGATATGAGGTTTGTTTTCTGAATGCAAGTCCCCTCAGTTTTTCCTCCAGACTCTCTTGCTCCATGTCGGGCAGGCTACTGAACGTGTCGCTGCAGCAGCCCCCAGCCTCTTCAGACCCGGCTCCGGATTCTGAGTCGCCCCCGTCGGCCCCCATAGAAGAAAGGCGTCCGCTAAAGCCGCCTGTCGCCGAGCTGCTGTGGTCCTTCACCCGGGGGTCCATGCTGGTCTGTCCTCCTCACTCTCTCGCCCCGCGCTGGACCCCCTCTGATCCCGCTGGTAGGAGAACACAGGTGCTGATAGCAGAGGGTACCTGTCGCATGGAGGAGGGGTGGAGGGGAAAATAAACACAGAAGCTGGGATGTAAAGCGGATTGTCCGTAATTTTTGACCATTGACCGCTGTGTGCGGCTGCCAGGTACGACGCGGTACCCGCCTGGGCAGCAGACTGATCTGCACTACGAGCCTGATAGCGCGGTGTCAAGTGTGCGTGGGTACACAGGAAGTCTAAATGCCCTTTCATCCACAATAAAAGCAGATTTTATGGGGAATAGTTTCACTTTCCGCCTGCACTGTACATGTCTATTGCGGCGGTGTTAAAAAACCTGCTCGTAGTACACTCACTCACCATAGACAGTACCGTACCCACTGTAGCTGACACTATAGCAGGATGGCTAATTAGCATAGCTTCAACAAGGATTGCTATATTTTAGTTTAGTCCATTGATGTCACTAACCATGTCTATCTACATGCCACACTTTTACTTCTGCAACGGAAAATTTGAATGTTATTAATTTGTTGTAGGCTACTTGACAGCATTGTCAAACGCACGGGTCTGAACACAGAACAGCATCCGCCAGGACTTGTTCCGTGTTTAACTGAACCACACAGAGACGATACAAGTCTAGGTGTTCAAACTCACTGTTTATCTTCATCTCTCACATGCATTTGGCCCAGGGGCCGAGCGGTGTGGCATTAAGGAATGTCCCTTTTTCTGCAGCATCATCAGTGGGAAAGTAGGCCACTGGCTGTGCGCACGGATGCTGTTATCACCTCACTCTCCTGCTATAATCATATGGCTATAATTACACACTGATGTCCATGTTCTGGTGTCAATACTCTTTGGTCTACTACTATGTGCACAATAACATTTTCAGAATAATATAGCCCAAATTCCATTGCCACCACAGATAAACTGAATTACAATATAAAGCCACAATATAAAGCTCGAATAAACATTCCATGCAAAATTGTCTTTTATCCCACTTATAATGAAGCAGAAAAAATCATCAAAAACAAATAAAATCTGTTCAAATTGCAACATCAAAATGAAAAATGACTTAGTGTAGGCTACTTTATTGTGCTAACAGTCAAACACAATGCATAGCTTCAGAAATGAGGTCCCATTGTTGCTGTGAGACTGGACTGTGTTATTACACAGAGACTGCATATTGTCTTGGGGCTGTCAGAGCGATTTCCATTCCACTGATCTATTTTAAGATTATTGTTAAGCCAGGGAAAACAGAAACCCCTCTTTACGTCTGGTTAAATAATGGGTCTATAAATACATTTTAATCCAATTTAATCAAAAATGCTTTAACGTTTCCTCAGATTTAGCTCATATGCTGACCATAATTAACAATGTTCCACTTTTTGTCTGTTACATGCTCCAGACCTATTAAGAGAAAAACATATGCAAAGATATATCCATTAACACACAATTTCATGTACCACGGTGAGGTCTATTTATTGCAAGCCATAGCCTAATAACCAAAGAAGCGTTACAACATCAAATGAAAGTTAAATAAAGGATCACACACAGCCATTGGGAATATGCTTTTATACTGAAAATACTTTATTTTGAAACTGTAAAAAAGCTTTAAGTTCAGGCACAAGAAACAGCAAAATTGTGAAAAATCAAGACTTAAAGAATTAATAAAATATACATTGGCCCTTTGTTTTCTGTTGTACTGGAGCTGTGGAATGAAATATTTGATGCAAAACTCATAAATAAGTTATAGAATTATTTTGACTGATATAAATTTACTTATAATAATGTTAAGTTTAACTTGGTTTGTTAACCTCACCAAACAATGATTGGACTGGCCTCACATCACAAAAAGGCTTTGGAGCACACAAATAATAACTATAATACACTTGAAATGAAAAGTTAGGACATTGATGTGTAGGTAACTAAATGATTATGGTGATATTTAGTCATTCTAGCATCAATACAAATCCATATTTACAAAACCGTGACAATTTTGTGTAGTTTCTCTTGTATTTTCTTGGAGCTCATTTGTCACAATATGCAAATTGATTAACTTAGACAAACTAAGTTGTATTGAGGTCAATGCTGACACACCTTGAACAACATCAACATAAAATCTTTTACCACAATTTAAACAAAGTAACATCTGGCTATGTGAATTCCCATTTTTACAAGAGTCCTTATGAAAAGCCTCCAAGCATCATTATTGATACTTCACAACAAATAATAACATTATACAAAATATACAATTATATAAAAAAATGTGACACACATTTTGCTGGAATGAAATACAATTCATACTTAAAGAGCATTAATTTCTATAAATATATAGATCCTCCATGCTTTAGCACGTCAGTGTCCCCTGTAAAAGCCCCACATGCCATAATTTGTTAAATACACTCTGCAGTGGAATAAATGCTGTGTTATTATAAACAGGTCTTAAATTCATTTGCCAGCGATTCCTTAAGCCTTTCTTTTTCAGACTGTAGACAAATGAAAACATGACTTGTGTAGAAAACTATTCAGTGCAACTTACTTCAGGAATGTTGGCAACCAGTGCCACTAGCAATAGTGATGTTTTGCATCATTACAGTGTAAGAATTGTAAAAGTTCAGATGGACCTCAGTGTTCAGCAGTGACGTGAGGTTTGGGACACTGGCCCATGCTCTTAAAGGAGGAGGTCAAAGTTCATATAGTCTTGACGATGACTGAATACTCAAGATGTCTCGTTGACTGTTCGTTCCAACTCTATCACTTTGCTCCTGCTCCCATTTGACCTTGGATCCAGAGACCTAAAGAAAGTAATATGATAAGTCTTATACTTTACTTTCACTTACTTTACATTCAGACTTTGATGCTAATTACAGAATACTCATTACACATTTACCTGTGCATGTCTAAAAGTCTTTGAGTGTCATTGTTTTTATTCCTGAAAGGAGGATAGGTTTCAACCCTGTTTGGCTCTACGGCAATTTTCTGTTGCTCTGAACGACGCCATGCTGCCATAACAACAGCTGGTGTGTCCTCCCACTGGTCCGGATACTCCCCGCCCAGTCCAAGAAGGTGTGGCTGTTCATCCTCAAAAGTTGATAAAAGATTCCTCGACTTAACTAAAAAATAAAGTAAAATGTCTTGTTTCAGTCAATACAAAGAATTACATGTACTGTATATAAGCACTGTAAATGTTCTCCATGTTCACGTATGTGTGGGCAGAATGGAAAAAGTAACTCAATTTGATCAAATTATATACTGCCACTTATGTGTTTGGGAAGTACAAGAGGATATATTCTACTGTTGAAGATCATTTGTCCCTACGCACGCTACGCTAGGGGGTAATTATTGTTAACTGAATTATGACACTCCACTGGTCCTTTGAAGTAATACTTCATTAAATAACCTGTATGTGACAGGGTTCACAGGGTGCTGTGAAGAGCTGCTGAAAGTTGGTGGTAAACCTGACACAATATGCCCATGTACAGTGTCGTCCCACATACCTATGGATGTGTAGGAATCTTTGACAGCCATCTGTTTGGATGAGTGATCTGTTTCAGTGATTGTGGAGGAGGGAGTCAAACTGTTAGGGTAAAAACTCCCCAAGAACAAAGCAAAACACAGGACGACCACCTACAAAAAGAGGCAGACAAAAAGAGGTTGTGTGTTATTATAAATGGAATTATAAAAAATATAAAATTATCATAAAATTAAAAAGCGGATGTTTCCAGTTCAATAGCTGAAACCATAATAAAATGTGCTAATTAACATCGACACACACAGTCAGTATTACCATGAGGCATGAGGAGGTCTGTGTTCCAGCCACTCTACAGGATTTTGAGACTTTCCCAGCGACCACGGCCTGCAGCGCCTGCAGCTGCTGTAGCAGGGACCTGCACATGAGTGAACAGGTTAAACACAGAGACAGAGACTCGAAAAATATATAAATAATATAAATGTTAATCAATATCTTAAGAAACTACGTAATACTAAACTAGAACTAAACTAAACTGAACTGTGCAGCACAAGGCACCCTGTCCTTCATCAGTCCTTCCACCATCTTCACACAAATACAGTGTACAGAGATGCAACTGGTTCATTTGAGAAGTTTATCGTGGAGAATAAAAACAGCTGTGTTCCACTCAACTTTACTTAACACATTACATTCACTCGTTGCACACACAACACACAGCAATACTGTCCATCCATGTGTGAAAAGCAAACAGCACTATCTATGTGAAACAGCTTGAGCATTTTACATTAGAATATCCTCATGGTTATGCATGGATGCAAAACTGCAGCTGAACAGGGAGGGAGGTAGCTAATAATAAAATATAGACACATTGTATCAACTGTCATTCCTCTTCATCATGTGAGCTTTGAAATAAAATCAAATAATGCCTTAAAATAAAAAAAAATTAAAAAGCCTGAGGGGACAAGAGACATAGACTGTCAGAAGAATGTTTAATTTTTCTGTCAATGAGAAATAAAAATTGTCATCACTGCCATGTCTTAATCCACTGACCACATTGTGAGATTTTGGTAGCACTGACAACAGTCAAGCTACATAGGGGAGCAGTTACAGTTTACTAAATGTACGCTTTTCATCATTGTTGCCATAAGCGCTTATGAATAGCATAAACAATACAAAGCATTTATAGTTTTGTCTTACTTGTTGGTGCACTCCAGTGTCTCCACTTTCCTGCGCAGTTCACTGTTTTCATTGGAGCAGTTCTCCACCCTGTGGCCAAAGAGAGATGGTGCAGCATTGTGGTTTTAACATATCTCACCACAATGTACAAAATAATAATAATAAAAAAACTTACTTCTTCTCCAATGTATCCATATATTCTTTCTTCTTCCTGCGACTCTCCTGAGCTGAAATCTGAATAGTGACAATAGATAAGTCAGTACAACTCTAAATGGGATTAAAATGCTTTCTGGATAATCACTTAAATTTATGTATACCTTGTTTTTAATCTTTCTGCGGATCTTCTTAAGTGCTTTCTCCTCAGCTTTGGTCAGGGGCAGTTTGGTGGGAACAGGGTAACCTTCAGCTACCAAGGTACGACGCTCCTCCTCAGTCAATATCAGAGGCCCTGAACCTTGCAGTTTCTATAGAACAGATCCAACATTAATGAGTAAATCTAATTAACTATTAACACAAAACAGCACTATCACTCACGTGGGGTGCGGTTAGAAGAGGGGAGTTGGACAAAGAAGAATGAGCTCGTGGGGACACCTTGAGGTTGGCCTGTGATGGTGGGGGGCTAGTGGGGGAGGTGGGGCTGGAGAGGCCTGTCGGAGCATGCACAGGGCTTTGACTGCCCTCGGAGTCACTACCATGGGAACTGGGAGGAGTAGGTGGCATCTGTAGTGACTCCAGACCTAAAATTTAAACAATTAGTCTTTTAATTGCAAATACAACATTTACACATTTGTGTAATAATAGGGTAAATATGAGCTTCAGAAATTGGTACATTAGAGAACATATAAAAAAAAATAAAGGTTTAAAATAGGTTTAGTAAAACCAAGGCCACACTAAACAAACTGTTGAGATGCACATAATTAAACCAGTAGAGAACCATTGCTTTAAATTACACAACTACAAATCACCACTAGGGGTCATCTGAACACTGAACACTGAATACAATGAAAAGAAGGAAGAAGGAAGAAGGAGGGAGCTTTTGGCATACATACCTTTTGGAGAAAGATTTAGAAACTGGTCAACTTCATGTGGTTCCAGTTTTATCTGTGGGGTAATGTTCTCTTCTTTTATCTAAAATAAGATATGATAACAAAACAGTGAGATTTTAACAGAGCATAAATAATCGTTATCTCTACACTGTAATGACACTGACCTTAATGCTTTTGCCTTGACTGGGGGACTTGGGTGGGACAGGGGCTGTGGTGACTGCAGGGGGGACAGTCACTCCCTCTGTGGCCCGGGGCACTTCAGAAGAGGACAGAGACAGGGCAAGTGTGGGGAGCAGGGAGGGAGTCTCACACAGCAGGTCAATGGACTCCTCCTGCTCCATGGGCCACTCAGAATCACCATCTGACTCCCCTATGAAATAGATTAATCATAATATTACAGTTATTCTGTGGAACATTTAAAGGTGCACTATGCAACTTTTTAGAGTGAAGGTCTGCAACCTGCTTGTCTCCATGGAGATTTTCTTGCTTTGCCTTGAAATGTCCACAGTATGGTATTAAAGTTTTCAATATCCATGGAGACAAGCAGATGATTCTACCAGGCAAAGTTATAGGTTAGATCTGTGGAAAGGCAACCACCTTCACAGTAGGGATGCATGTTTTTTCTGTGAATTTTTGTAATTGGTTATAGTTGGTGGTGTGCAAAAATACAGAAATATCGATATATCTTATTGTTTGTGTGATGATACAGTATCAATATTGGGCACTGCAATATCAATATATCTCCAAGAGTATTTTTTGGTACATTTTACTAAATTATTTTGTTGCAGCGCTACAATTGTGTTGCTTGTTTAGAGGAAGGAAACTTGTTTGTAAATACAGTAAATTGCCTCGAATTGTAAGCTCACTCTATCGAGATATGTATTGTATCGGCAACTTCTTAATGATACCCAGCCCTAGGTGTAAAAGTGCTAACTTCCCAAATACAGTATTTGACTGTCTAAGTAACATTGAATTCCCTTCAAAGTATGGGTTCTATGTGCATTGTGGGTAGTTCTTCTGAGATAATGAGGTTTACAGTTGATCACTCATATGGAGCAATGGAAGAATGGGTTTCTGCTTTGCCAAAGAGATATACTAAACCGCACAAAAACTTGATCAAAGGTGCAAGAGGTATTCAGAAACAAGAACAATGAATAACTCAAATTTGGCAAAAACATCAAATAGAACCTTTATATTCGTATATGAAGTCAATGGACGGAGCTCTGCAATTCTAAAAAGACATTTTTTAAAAGGCCCCTAACCCTAGTCAAACCAAAAGAATGACTATCATTGCCAGAGCAAGTACTAATGATTTACATATTAATGAAATGTAATATCTGATTTTGGTTTGTAAAATAGATTATGCCTAACCTGCTTCACTGCCATGCTCTCCAGTCAGGTGGGACAGAGGTGACTGGGGTCTGCTGTCTCCACAAAGGGAGTAGCTGTGCTCCACTGTGATGTGAGGAGAAATTGGAGACGATGGTGACAGTTCCCCATCGTCTCCCTCCATGGCCTCCCCTCCTCCTCCTCCTCTCACCCCAGACAAGAAAGGGTCGCTAAGCAGTTGACCCAGCAAGGCATCATGGGAGAGGTCATCCAGGAGCTCCGTAAAATGCTGTAAAAGGAAAAGGAATGCTATGAGCATCTATGCAATTTGCAATGTTTAATGACACTTAACTCATCAAATTAAATTTTCCCAGTACCACCATCAGAAGTCACACACAGACAGCCTGGTAATTTAAGTCCTCAACGTGTTAACAGTAGACTGACTTTTTGGCACATTTTCTTAAGGTTACAACCCCCCACTCCTGCAGGAAAGATGTTCTAAAAGGTATTCTTAACAGGTCACTAACAAACACATTTGTAGTGGTAGCAATCATTAAAAAGTTTCCCCTTCTCCCTTTACCTTACAGTATTTGTTAACATTGTATTTATACTATCTATGTTCTATCTTTCTGTTACTTAAACATACATGTAACCCACATTAAGACAGCCTTGACTGTTATGACTAAGGGAAGTGAAAAGACTAAACTTGATATGTTGATATGACATGTGCCTCATTTCTGTCTACAATCTGCCCGTAATTACTGTAAATATTGTTTAAAACTAAAATACTCTGTTTGATGTGACAATTTCAGTCTTTTTATTATCAGCTTGTTCATATCATGTCATTATTGCTTTAAAACATTTGATTTACACAAGTCAATATGCTTTGAAAATTGTTAAATTGGTAAACTCTGTGACATTTCATGCACGTTTACAAAAATATTTAGCCTCAACCAATAGCATGGAAAGTACAACAGTACAATTAGAGTATGTGAATCATACATAAAAAGTAGAAAGGCTTATTAGGAAGGACAAAACTGAGCAATCTGTAATTACTCAATAACACATTTAAAAACAAAATTTAGACTAAACAAGGTACTTGCAGGCCAAGTTAGTGAGAGTGAAATCAAGATAATGGCAGAACTGAAAGAGGAGGAGGGTGAACCCTGAACATGTGGTTTCAATTACAAAACGTCATTTTAAGCATTTTTTTTCTCCTCACCACACACTGTTATAAAATAACTTTGTCACTCCAAGAGGGAAAGGCCATAAAAGGCAGTGCCCCAAGTCCTTAGCAGCAGTGACAGTGACAGTATACTGTGAATATATTCAAGAGGAAAAACAAATGTTTACACACTTAACCACTTCTTTTCATTTTAACAATTAGCACGTAACTGATAGCAACTGATACTTCACAGGTGACCTAAATCTGTGTACCTGTGGGCTTTGGAGCAAAGGATGGATATGACATGTGTGTGTGCTTTTGTATTTATTGGCACTAATCTATTGTATAATATATAGGTCTCTAAAATCTCTTTGAAAATGTGTTAGAACCAGAGTAATATAAATAATGCAGATCTATTCAAGAAAAAAGGCATTGTTAAACCAGAATTTGGTTTACCATGGTTACTTGTATCAGTGTTTCCATTCTCATATGTGTTAATGTAAAAACTGTGCGCTGTCCCTGTCTCATTAAAGTAAAAAATTAAAATTAAATAAAATAAAGAATATGAGCAGTGAAAAACTAATCAAATGCGCAAGTAATAGCAGTTATGGATTTGGGAGTAATAGTATGAACTATTGTCATCAAAAAGCAAAAAATATAAACAACACCGGCAAAGACATGTGAGTAACTCTTGATACAATGAACCCATGAACAGTCTATGTGTCATTAAGAAACGTGCCTGAGTGCCTACACCCCAGGCACGTTTCTTCAGAAGGGTGGTAACAGCTATTAATGAAGGCAATTGCATCAGTATTGTACCTTAAAAGGAGTGTTAGGAGGATAGTTTTTATGTGACTTTGGACTGTGGTAAGCCAAAATAGCAATATTTCATAGCTTTATAGTAATTATGCCCAAACAAGGTATTTTAAAAAAATAAATATATACATTACAAATTATAAAAAAATACAGTTTTGTGTGTCATCCGCCAACTCTATTACTTATAAATACTTATAAATAATAGACCATATTAGGATTTCTAGCACCATACAGCAGTCCCATAGTCAGTGACTAAATGAGGACATATAGGAGGATTGTGTTTATGGTAAGGCTTAGACCAAAAAAGGGAGAGGTTTTCCTGAGGGCGTCTGTACACCAAACCACACCAAAACATAGGAGTGAGGCTTTATTCACTCCCTGTCATCAGTGCTGTGGGTTGGGATGAGAAGACTGGACCGGTCGCCAGCCGGGTGTAACTCATCACACACAACAGAAAGATCTTTGTGTTCACAGCCCAACAGAGAGGTGTTATTTAGGGCCAAATGTGTAACTTGACACCCTCCATCTGAGGCACAGGACCAGAGGAACTGAGCAGAGATGGAATCTGGAAAAAACGATGGAACTGGCTCAAGAATCAAGTGGAAATAATGGAAAATGCTGCTGTGAGAACTGATTGTAATCTTTTAATTAAAGACAGGGTCGACAAGGACTGATAACGCACAATGGAAGGTTATTTCTGACCAAGACAACATTTGGTGATTAAACACTTTTCAGCATTTCAGTGTAGCTATTATAGCTGGACGATACAACAACACAAAATGATTCAAATTTTTTTACTCATATTGATTAATGCAATTTTAAAATTTTATTTAATGTTTCTTATTAAAGACAAATAGAATGGCTTTCAATTAATTTTGTGAACATAAACAATACAGACATAATTATTTTTCCTCCAAAGTATGAATTCTGCCAAACCACATTTTTACTGACTCAATTAAAATATAATTAATTAGCAGTAATTAGTAACTAGAAGTATCACTTTTTTAAAAAGTTTATGTATTGTTCTAAGCATGTTCAAAGCAAGCCCACACTAAAGTCATAATAAAATACTTCTTCAAAGCTTGAATGGACAATAAACTTAAAATGTGAAACCCTTTCAAGTAGTGCCCCTGAAAAGTTACAGATAAGTGATATATTCTGTCCGCTGCTGAAAACGTCTGAGGTCTGTAGTTAGCAGGTTTAAGTAAGGAGTGATAATGCCCCACTGTTAAGTCCTGACCAGCTGTGTCGGACACCTTTAAGCAGCCAAATTATCAGGCAGGGATGGGGCAGGAAAACGGTGTCCCTGGACAGTAATTGCTCTGTAAAATACAGCGCACCGCTGAGATCTGAAGGTAGAAAAGGAAGAAGTAAAATGTGGCGTTTATGCAACATTTTGGACCCTTAAGGAAGTCAAACCAGATGTTGAATCAATAGCAGCTGTCTCCCTAGTGTAGATTTGTACTTTACCCTATGAACATTTACTGATCACGCAGCAGGTAAATACTCCAGCTCGATAGAAGAGACTACTCAAGTGCACATTAATACAAGTCAAGATAAACAAATGACTTAGACTTTATAATGGGTTTATTTCCTCTATCTATGACAGGGCAATTTACCACCAGCACGTGTCTCAGTGACAAGATAAGCCTTTTATCTAAACAGTGAACTGTACACGTTAACTCGATTTTGATACAAAGGAAAAGATACTCAAAAACATTTTTTTTTTTTTTCAGAATGATAGTAACGAACAAAACTCTTTTTTGACAAAAGACAATTTTTATGACAAAATGTTTCCTGTTTTTAAATATTATTTTGTGATCTTATAGGCTACTAGTTTTATCATTCAACATTTAAATTGAAGAAATGCCCTGCTCCATTTCTGTAATTTTCTTTCTTTTCTTTTTTTTTCTTACATTTTTACTTTTTAAAGAGCTAGTTTTATTTAGTATTCATTATTATCTGGGTATTTTGAAAATAAATAAATAAGTATATAAATAAAATTGGGCACAGGTCGTCTTTATGGATATAGGAGTCAATCCCACTTGCAGCATACAGCAGTTCCCACTGGAATGCCAACTATGTAGCGGTTTTAGTTAGGTAAAGTGCATAAGTGAAAACTCTGAGGCAAAGTAAATAACAGAAGAAACAAAGAAAACTGTGATTATAACCTTGTTCTTATGCATGATGAACATGTTAAATAAATATGGTAATTTGCTGTCTACCAGAGTTGCCCCAAGTCTAACCACACAACAGATAAGAGTGAGAGGTACCAGCACTACACATGTTATCGCTTGTTGCTACAGCAGTGGGACTGAAAGGAGGGCGGTTTGTGCTGTGGCATTGATTTTAAGTGTCAGGATAAGACAAATCACAGGCCGTGAATGCAGGGCTCCTCAGACTCAACAGTATCTGGAGGCTGTCTGCATAAGAGGTCTTACAAATGTTTTCGTCATGAGTGGAAAGTAAATTTACTTGTGTATCATGCTTCATTAAACCACCTTAGTTCCTAACACAACCAAGCATCAGTTGTTCCATTATACAAACCTAACTCATTTAACCCATAAAAATGACACTTAGCGAATTGACTCCATAGAAAATGTCCTCATACCAAAGTGGTTTGCACAACAAAAACTGCTTGGAGCACACACCCTGACCCAAATTCTCAGACATGGATCCTGGCTGCAAAACTACCTCAAAAGCCTGTAAGGGAGAACTTATTATTGACTGATGCTTAAGTTTCACCGTAATGATCAAATGTAATGCCAAAACATAGAAATAGCCTCAAAATGTTTTCAAAGTTGAAGTGAGACCCATTAAAAGAGGTGAGATACGCTTAATGAACGTAAACAGCAGGAAGTGTGAAGAAAAACAGGGGCTGTGACTTCCCACTGAGAGTTGGTGTTGACTCTTGTGCCACAGGCCAGGATCTAAATACACATCTTAAAATGCACTTGGGCTGTTGGTGACAAAATTCACAGCATATCAATTATCAGCTTGAGTTAAATGTCCCTTCCCTTGTATGTAAATTTTCACAGTGAGTGTGTAAGTGAAGTGTTGAGTATAAGTATATGGTGTATCCAAATCAAAGTTTACTCTGGCATGTTTTGTGTTCACAGACAGAACTGGCAATGGAAAATACATCAATTCTTACAATGCTTAACCATTCCAGTAAGTTTACTCCATCGGATCCCCCGCAATGGGCCTAAAGGACAGAGGTCCACCCCCCGGACAAATACACAGACTTTCCAGTGTTGCTCATTTGGACTGATGAGTGCATACCCCCACTTTTCCAAACACAGCAAGTCTCCAGATGTTACACAATGGCTTTCCCAGACCAGTTTAAATCCACAGAACTGGCACAAATGGGCCTTTCCAATGACACAGTAATACCACTTAGAACAACATGATCTTTCAACCAAATTGAATCTTTTCACAATCTATTTGGAAACACAATATTTTAAAAAGGCCAAACAAATTATGCAAATATTTACTCATAGACTTATTTATGTCATAACTTGGAAGTTGTAAATAATGGTTAGTGAATTATTAATTAAGAGTTAGGCCTAATGCTTCTTCTTCTTGACTGTTTTAAAGATTTTGATCAATTTTGACTATAAAACAACAACTTTACTTTTTATTTCATTAATTAAAACAACTGCATATATATCAATAATGACTCTTAAGTTGTAAATGTGTGTATACTATATACAAATAAAAATAAATATTTGGTCAAGGGTTACAAACACAGCTGTCAGATGTAAGGGGGCTCTTCCACTCTCCAGCACTACCCTCATCCTCCACACAGATCGCTGCTTTGAAACTGGGTCAAAAGCAGCAGCATGAATAACTTTTTCCATCTTTCCACAGCGGCTGCGCTGACCACTCTTCAAGACTTCACTGCAAAAACACACACTGCTCCACTCCTGAACTCCCTCACCCCTGGATTTATTCCCACTTAGCACAAAAGGCTCATTTACTTTTCACCAACCAGTGTATCTTATTGTATATTCTTATAAAGCTTTCTTTGAGTTTGTTGTTAGGCAGTGAACTAAAAGTCTTATCAATCTGATGCACAGCCCAACCTTACACATATAAGCAGTATTTTTTCTTAGTTTAACTCAACTCAACAAGTTGAATGAAACACTTGAATTCTTAAAGGTCATCTGAACCTTACAACTTTGATCTGTTTTTATAGTTTAGAACAAATCTAGTAAGAGTAGTGTAAAAACTACATATAATACAAGATGCAAGCAACAGGGGAACAAAGGATTTTAGAGATGTGTGCATTTTGTAGACTATGACAACTTCAGGCTTGTTTTAGGGCTGGCTGCTTAAATTACTCAGAGGCATATAAAACCCAAACGGCCTTTAATCACAGCAGCCCACATCTCTTTATGCAGCCAGCAGCTAAGACATGGCCAGAGCACGCACAGACAGTCAGACAGTCAGACAGACAGACACAGAGTTTAAATTTAGCTTCTCCTCACAGAACCCAGGCTCCTGTGGATTCTTCATAATGATCCCCCACACTGATTACTACCTTTACAATCTTCACAAATGGCAGCCTGCAGCTCACTTGAGTCTGAGGTGACTTTCAGCATTTGGAGAAAAATTGCATCAGAGCACACTGAAGAAAAAAACATGGTTCATGTGTGGACCATTTCCCTGATTTAAATTTTTTTTGTTTTTGATTTCTATAATTCATTCCTGACTGTCAAACATTAAACATCTGTATTTAGTATCTATGCCTGAATTGTACCATGCAACATGTAGCAACCTGATGGACAGGTCTCAGTATACAAGGCTCTAATTGTTTTAAGCAGTGTTTGTCCAGAAACAATACAGAACCAGAAGATCCTGCTCCACACCTAAAATATTGACACTGTATGTTGTTCATGAATGTGAGTCAGATATAGCAGCTTAGTATGTAGTATGTAAAATTTAAGAAGATAGCTGCACTTTCACTGGTAGTAAATGGTAGTGAGAGTTACAATGCCCTGCTGTATGCTCCCCACACACTCAGCCCTGTTGCCTCGGACACAAGCAGCATTCAGACTGGCTGAGTGAGGCCTCTACGGAGCGGGATGCCCTGCTCCAACGGAGAACAGGCGCTGCACTGTAAGCACATTGAACAATCTGTTTGCCCTTGACTCCACTGGGCGTGCATACGCTGAAAGAAATAATATTGTGGTGGGATTATAGCTGGTGTCAGCTTAATAAACAAAGCAGACTCTTTATCGTCAGGTATGTTGCTCATTATCTGCAGGTATGTTGCTCATTATGTAAGCACCAGGCCAGGCGTATGTGCACACAGCCAAGGGGAAAAGGCCCAGAGCAAAGAGTTCAACATGTGCAAAGTAACAGGCTGCTCCAAAGAGTCCAAAGTAAATTTATGGCATTTCTGAGCTCAATTTTCCACATGAGTGGATAATGGTTTTACAAACCATCAATAGTAAAATATGAAATGAAAGGGCACATTTTGTCATTTCACAAAGGCTGATCTTTAAAAAAACAAAATAAAAAAAAAAACTGTTCCTTTAGTTCCACACGTCAAAAAACTAATCTAAAAACTATCCCTTTATGACGTCAGGAGAAAGTGACACAACTCCACTTTCAACGCCACACAACCTGAGGAACTTGACTGAACACTAAAGAGTCAGAGTAAAGGGAAAGGCCTGATCAAGTACTGACAATCAGCAAAGGTTACCCACAGAGAGGCTTGACATTGTTGTGAGGAATCCCATGTCAACACACCACAGGCAGAGAAAGGTCGGGACTAGAGAGGGCACAGTTAATTTGGGAGGGGGCCCAAGATTTAAACACTACAGTCTTGTTGGCCCGTGGATACACCCCCATTCTTTCACACACTAACACACATAGTATTCATGCTTTACTATATATAGTACACACTAGACTAACAACATTAACACAACCTGCTTTTCATGAATTTTGAGGAATGCAGCATACCACACTCCTTAAAAGCACCATATTAAGCTATTTTCAGATCTATTTAATAATGTTGTTTCCTCATCACAAACAGAACTGGAGTTATGTTTTGTTTCATTCACACATGATCAATACACCATCCCTGCATATTTCCTCTCTCAATCAGAAAACACTTTGTTCCACCTTGTGACGTCATGTGGTAACAGGAAGCATTCCACATGTTTTAAAACTCCATACACCTTTAGAATCATTATAATAAAAAATAATTAATAATTTCAAACCATCTCTACTAAACAAAAGATAAAATGTAGCTGCAAACTTGAAAACAATTGCTTGATGACATCACAAGGTGGAGCAGAGCATTTTGAGCTTTGGAGAGAAAGACTAATATTAAAGTATTACTCAAACATGTGTGAATGAAACAAAACCCAACTCCAGATATAGTTTTGATTAGGTAATAGCATTATAACATGGCTTAAAGTGCGCAAGAGTCAGTTTTGTGTAATATAGGACCTTTAATAATGACAGATTTGAAATTAAGGCCATTTAAATGAGACTTCATTGTGCTGCTTATATTATTCTGTGTCTGGGTTTGTACTTTTGTTATATGTAAGAGCACGCAAGCAACTTTGCTGTATCCACATTATCTCAAATGTAATTGGTTAGTATGCATCACAAAATGTATAAAAATTGAAGCCCAGTTTGAATGTTCTATAAGAAGAATTTTGGGCTTAAATTACTTTTGGATAACTTAACATTGGTGTTTCATGTAATATAATAACTTAACCCAAAAAAAAACAACAACAAAAAAACTTGTAAACGTTTGTTACACTTAGTACGTTTTGCAAACCAATTATAAATGTTGAAGTTGTGTGTGTGTAAAGGCATTTTTTGTCTATAATTACAGCTTCAAATTTAGCTTATATGACCAATGTTGGAACTTCTTGTACCACGCGTAGCCGCCCACAAAATGACCCAAAATGAATACACAGCCCTTAGAGCGGGGCAGCTGCAGTTCAACTTTTCAGCTGGTATTTGACAAGAAATGTAGCCTCAGGACCTCTTTAGTGCAAGCGTGCTCTGAAGCTTTACAAGTCTTTACCTGTCCATAGTTGTCCTTGAGGAGGCAAATGCCAAATTGTGTATGCGCTTATGTGAGCTGGTTTGACTGAGCCTGTCCTCTGTGGTGTCTGATAGTTATCCTGTGAGCCAGCTGGATTTCTCCTTGTAAACGTATCACTCCCCCATTCTCCTCTCCACACAAACACACATGTGCGCACACCAACTCACACTTGGCCGAAACTGCGGGCCTGAAAACCATATGGCTGCGGCAAATATTTCAGGTTACATAATGAATGCAAAAAGGTTTCTTCAATTACTGAAAAATGAGCTATTGGAAAATAAAATAAAACACACTGAAGGTTCTATGCTATTGCTAGTAATATTTTTATTTACCAAATGTCTGGTTTATAAAGAACCAAATACCAAGCAGTTGGACAGGTTATCATTTTAACTTTGGTTCCCGTTGAATATAGGTTTAAACTTTGTTGCAAACTTTAATATATAGTTTAGAATGAGAGCAACATCGCACAACATCACACAATCTCACAATCTCAAATAGGCTTACTGATGACAAAACCTAACATGTCAGAGATATAGGTTATATCAAATACATGTATGTATATCAAAGTATGTAGTGTTCAAGTCAAGTCTTGCACAGAGAAAATACATTGCTGAAATCTGCTGTAGGCTTACAGATGCTACCTGTTGCATCCTGGACCCCAAGTCTCAAGTTCCTAGTGGAGAGCAGGGCGCACTCCCTCTCGCAGACTATGATTACCCCTCACTGTTATGGCCCGATAATCCACGTCAAAATCTATTCAACCTGATTACTGCAAGCATATTTAGCCTAGTAACTTTACGACTTTGAGTTTGGGAGTGAAGTTTTACAGTCTACTTACGTTGGTGTAGAGCGCACTGTCTATGTCCCCGGCTTCAGACAGCTCGCTCAGGTTCCTTTCCCAATGTAAAAACGGCTCACCACTGTCCAACATCTCCATGGCAGCTCTTTTAGATGTCGTCTTGTTATGTGGATGAAATTATATCAAATACCACGAAGTTCGAAGCCCAAGGATACAAAATAATTGCCCTTAAGAGCAACAAAAACTTTTCCAGCTAGCCTGAAAAAACAAAAACGCGCGTACAAGTCGTCGTCGTGACGCAGAGCTGGTCAAAGAGAATAAGACACGTGAAAGTATAATTTGAAGATCTTGGATTGACTTGTGTTGTTATTATTGTTTGTCATCTCCTCTTTGGTTGTGGCTCCACGGACTGACTTCTTTGCTCCTCATTCCTCCTCCTTCACACCAGACATGCAGGAATTTATGGGAGGGGCCACAGCGCACGGGAAGAGAGCGAACCATGGAGCGAGCCAGCAGAAATTTAGGTCGGAAATTAAGTTTGAATGAAGGTTTTTGATCTATCAGCTCTCAGCTACTATGATACACTACATAGGCATACATGAAACAACTGTCGTACTCCACAAGAGGTAGACCTATATAACCTACCATGTTTCTATTTATTTTGTTCTATTTACCAGGACTATGCAAATGGATTACTGCAAAAATATAAAATACTGACCCGTCTCTGCAGTATTTTTGAACCATATTAAAAGTTTTATTAGAATAGAGGATGAACATGTAGGACCCGCCCATATCCTCTGCTCCACCAATCACTAACTTTCTTTTTCAAAAAACCCATTCAGAGCACTGCGAAGCTTATAACAGACAGCTCACCACACCAATGAGAAATTAGGTGAAAACTTATCTGAACCAATCAAGTTAGGCCAAGAATACCTTTAAAGAACAGTATGTTGTCTTTTAAAGACGCAGGCAGGGGAAAGACAATTTCCCCAAAACGGCACAATTTCTAGTTTGTCATTACAAAATATTTATGAATATAGTAGTCTACATATAACAAAAAATACCTCATATACTAAAACTTTATTATGAACAATTTTTAACTGCTCATAACCACTGGGAGGGAAAGAAAAAGCAATAAAATAAAGACTAGTCAGAAAATAACCTCATATTAACAAATGGTGAAAACAATATAGAACAAGGTCCTACAACAAAGATGACTTGTCCAGTCTTAGAGCCGCAATAAACAGCAGCTGTTTTTAACTTGCATTTCTAAGGCTATCGCCTGGAATACCCATTACAAAACAAAAAAAAACACTTGTAATTGTTTTCCCCAAACATTCTTTCATTGATCCAAGTCTTTCCCATATGATGGGTACAAGTGCTGGAGCCAGTACACGAGTAGGCAGAAGGCTAGTCATACAGACAAGCACTCCCTCTCATGCACATAACATATGCATGTCTTTGGATGGTGGGAGAATCTGGCATACCAAGAGGGAATCTAATTCACAGAGGACATGCAGATTCTGCTTTGTTTGTGTGGCTGCTCAAGGAGCAACCACCATACACAATTTTACATAAAACAACATTAAAGAGTATACATGGTCTTTTAGCATAATCATAGATGGCATTTAAACAATAACATGATCTTCAAATGTGTGAGTGATACAAGTTCTTTGAGATGTGCCTTCTCCATGGCACTTGGGTCCTATTTGAAGTTTCTCATTAAGCGCAAAGTCAAGTCCTGTCTCTAATGTTGTCACTGAGGAAAATAATGTTATCTGTGGAGAAAAAGAGATTCAGTTAACATTATGTATATGTCTATATGAGAAATAGAAAATAATGGTTCAGTGTAAGGGCATTTTCCAAACCTGCAATAATGGTGGTTGCCTGACGTCTGACTTGGTTTTTATCCACATACTCTCCGTAGTCAAGTTTTCCTTCAACAAGAACCCTGGACCTGTAAATAACCAAAATTTGTCAGTAACCCGTTTTATTGAACCAAGAACAATTATCATATTTTCTCAATTAAGGTAACAAAATACTGATAGCATGTGGGCAGGAATCCTACTGATATGTGATTTCTTAACCCACCACTACAATTGCAACCCTGCATCTGACAGGTTCTGATGATTCTCTAATTTCTTCCAATTTAAATAAAAGGTGTTTTCTTATATTTTTATTTGTCAAATAATAATTTCTGTGTACATTAGAGGAGTTTTGGCCCAGTGTACAAAATGATTGCTAGATAACAGTTAAATTCCTTAGGGTGATGCAAACATTAGGAACATTGCCATGTGCTGGAGTTGTCCTGTTTTTCTCACCAACACACATCTTCAGACAGCTATAAATTAGTATGGCTTTTTTGAGTGTAGAGCTTGCATATACCCCTTTTTGATGTACTGGTAGGCTACATCTCTCAAACCGGGTTTAAATACAGACACACGGTGCCAGGTTGTCTTTTGACTGATATCTCCTAAAAGAAAACAAATACATTAAAACCAGACAAAATCTACACAGCATTATAACAAAATGTGTAATCTACAAATGATAATTCACAAGCGTCTAGCAATTATTATGATACGCCACCTAGTGGGACTAAGAAAGAAATTAAAGTATTGAAATTAAAAATAATTCACTAATCTGTGTTTGTTTTTCATTGCACTGCAGTCCTCTTGTCTCACATACGTGAGGCTTAAGAACTCCCATGTGTCATGTTTACAGCATGTATGTTCACTAACATACACCACATCCAAAAGACTGATACACCAACTCACAAACAGAACTTCATAGTACTCTGTGTCAATATCAGTCTGTTTAAATCTTAATTGTCTTAATTCAGAATTAAGAATACAGCCATTTATTTATATAGCACTCAAAATACTTTACATTCAAATGCTCTACAACTGGAGATAAGCTACCACAGAAGCCACAGCAGCCTTTGGGTGGTCTAACAGAAGGAAAACTCCACATTTGCACAATCTCATACACCACACTCATGCTAGGCAGTGTGGGTGAAGTACCTTGCTTAAGGACACAACAACAGTAGCCTACAAGTTTGTCGAAGCACATCCTGTGACCTTCAAGTTGGTAGACCTGCACCCTAACCACTGAGCCACTACTGCCCCAATAATTACTGTTAAAGCAGTCTATTGTTGTAATAGTAATTACTGATTAACTATTAGGTTAAATAACTTCTTTAAATAAGTCTTAGGCTAGCTTACCTGATCCTGGGTTCATTTCTCCTTCCCCAGAGCGCCACATTTCATTGGTCGCTACTGAAAAGATTGTGACAGGGTTTCGACCTTCAACTTGTCTCATTACTGGGTCCTGCCCAACTCGGCCCAATAGCTGCACACGGTTAATTGCTGATTAAAGTGAAATCAATTATTACAATTTAGGTTAATACATAATAAAGCACACATAAATCCCATAACAAAAAAATATACTTACATCGCTCAAGAATTACGCTTGGGTCTGTGCTATTGTGCCTCAACATCTGTCTTACGATCTACAGAGACAATAATGCACCTTTTCAATAAATTACGCTTCACACCTATATCATTTTAAAAGCGATTTCCAAACCTGTGTAGTTGCTCTTCTTAACATTTTTAGGCTGAATTGATCTAAAATGTTCCAACCTAGACAAAAGCATGATTATATAAGTAAAATAATAACAATAATAATAATAAAATAAAAACTGACAAAGAGATGGTAAAATGCATAGGTGTGATTATTTTTTATCACATGGATGAAACACATCAGTGAAACTGAAGCGGCAGTCTCCCGCCACCACTCCAAAAGGAAAATATCCGGTAATCTCAGGATTTTTTTATAGGCCTTCCAATCGAAACATGAGGGTAGAACTTAAAGACGTTTGTACGTGAAAGGTTATGACAGCAGAATAAATAAAAATGTTCAAAAAATTACCAAAACTGAGGTAAGTAAAAGTTGCTTCAGTAACCCCACGCTGCTTCCGGTCCGTACTTGTAAACGGCTCGACTACCATCTAGCAAATGAAGAGTTCCTACAGTCCCCAGGTCAAGTGTGAAAAATAAATGGAAACATATCATGCTACATTTAACTGTACAATGCGGATATTTATTGTAACAGTATTGTCACGCACAGCAACAGGACATTTAAAATAATTTAATTTGCAAGAGTTATTTGTGGCTATAAATTCGGCATTTTAATTGTTAAAATCTGTTTACTTTTTATAAGCAACTTGCCAGTAGTCTATAGGTCAACTCTTTATAAAACATTACTTTAATTATAAAATCTAGTAGATCGCACAATTAAAAAAAAAAAAAAAAAAAATGTCTGTAAAACCCCCAGCAGAGGGTGCAATTGTTCCCCTCTCATTGAAATCAATGAGAGAAAGGCGGGGTATGGCTGGTCGATGGGATCGGGGTGGGATGGGGACTCAAAGTTGGGCTATTCTACAAGTCAACTCTTTTTGGAATTCACTCACAGATACACATCGCTGTGGGATCCACTGGCTCCTGGACCAGGGATCCGCTAATCTCCACACCCGGAGATGCTGCTTCTTCTTCAGCTTCTAACTTTGGGTGAGTTTTCTCAAATGCTATTGCCATCAGAACCTTATGTGAATCTTTTTGACAGACATCATTATGCATCCACGTAGCTGTCAAAATAATTATACCACAATTATATCAGCCTGTTATATTTGCCCTATTCAGAAAAGATTAGGCCTACTTTATGATAGCCCTAGTAGATTGTCATGAGCATACATTTTTTTTCTTCTTCTAAATGAAATTCACGTGAAGGTAATTTACGTAAATGTACAAAGCAAAAAAATGTTCTGTCTTGAGTCATCTGGATGCTTTTAGAAGGCTTCATTTCGGTATTTATTCTCTCGAAACACTGTAATAACAGACGTACTGACTTACAGCGCTGTGGTGCCCAGCCTGGGCCCAGCTTCCAGAGTTTGCAGATGTGTGCACGGAGGGCAGCTGTTACCCTGCCACAGGTGACCTCCTGATCGGCCGAGCTCACAAACTCACCTCCTCATCCACCTGTGGCCTGCAGCACCCAGAGCGCTTCTGCATTGTTGGGCATCTGGAGGTAATGATCTAAGCTTACTATTGTTAAAGTTTCAGAAACAATAAACATGCATTTCTTTTACAGGCCTATTGTTATTACTAACAGTTTTTGCCTATGGGATACTAGATTATGATGCCACACAAGGGCAGCAATGGTAAAACAGTAACCATGTAAGTCATGTGTTCTGAATTACTGTAGTACTGGTTAGATAATTAGATAAATGAGGATGTGCTTGTACTGAGCATTGAGACCACACTTGTTAAATAGGCTATATAAAATTAACACACATTCCAGATTTTCCACATTCTATTTGCTAAAATGTCAGATTAACTAAGGCATTTTTGCAGCCAGCTACATTATACTAATTTGCACAGCATCTGCCTGTTGTCTCGATGAGTGGGAGTAAGCATTCCCATCCACAATAAAGAGCTGTATGCCTCACAATCCCTGCCCTGTGTGCTGTGTGCGGACTGATCAGGGGTCGAAGAAGGGAGATTCTCTTTTTATCTAACACCCTTTGGCGGTCTGGCTGTGTGAATGGACTCCTTATGAAATCATGGACACACTTTAATGCATTTTCTGCTCTGGAGATAAGCAAGTATGAAAAGCAGGAAGTCAACAGAAGTAGTTCAACTTTAAGTTTTGCTACCTAGTCACATTTTAATGTATTTGGCACAGACAGGGTCAAACTGGGAAATTCTTGTTTCTTCACACATTGTAGGCATATGATATAAGGCTGTATGCAGATGTGTGTGAGAACTGGAGTATAGTTTGTATGTTTGCCAAACCATCTGTTGAGAAACTAATCCTCATGACAGCATGAGTGAGAGTACCACCAACCTCATGTAAACACCATTGCTCTGACCACAACTCATCTGGAAGGTTTATGTTTGGTTGAAAAGCATGACATAGTATTAGTAGGATCTTGATGCCACAAGTAGGTTTATTATGAAATATTTTTAGTGAAGTAATATAGCCACCCTGCCCATTCCCTGCCCTATGTGTTTCCTCATTTTCCTGAAGAGGGTTGAATAAATAACTTCTATGACTCATTCTTGAGGTATCCTACAAAAGTGCTATTTATTTTTTTATAGTGCATATAGAATAGTGTTTTGGGATATTCTGCTTTTTGGCTATTGTGTCAGTGGTATAAATCAGTTTCAATATTATCGAGTATTGTCTATATTTTCTTTAACAATATATCGCACTTTGAAATTTCTTGTTGCAGCCTAATATTATGCCATTTTCTGGTACACAGCAATAACCTATAACATGTATAATTTGTTTTACATTTAGTTCATACCTCCAATACAATCAGTAATGGGACCACTGACCTTTTCGAAATTGCAAAATTGAGAGTCCCTGCCTTTTCATAGTGGCATTTCACCATAACAAGCTGCAGATTTACATGTAGCTTATGTGTTTAAATTATTTTTTAATGGCTACACAACATTATTGACGTGTATGACTTGAGTTTTCATTTGTTTTATAGTTGCGCAAAAGTACAGAGCTGTGGGCAGGGAAAGGAAATAAGTGAGCATTCAGTAGTGCATGAAAAAAGTTAGTGATTAGAGACAACAGTTATAACATGGTTAATAGTAGATTTTTCATTATATGTCTCACTGATCATTGAGTTTTCTCTTTTTTTTTGTAGGAGGAGAAGAAATGCTTTAAGTGTGATTCCAGACTGATGTACGACGAGCACACCAACCCCATTAGCCACACCATCGAAAATGTCGTTACCACCTTTGCTCATAATCGTCTTAAGACCTGGTGGCAGTCAGAAAATGGTGAGAAAGACACATTCCTGATTATTACTCCTGTTTGAAACAAGGGACAGTGCAGCAGTGTGAGAGCCACAACTCGCAGTGTTCTCATGGGAACTGACCTCACTAATGACTGGACTAGAACATCACACAGCCAATCATAGCAGGGCGAGGGGGTGGGGCTTACAAGTGAGTTGCATGGAACAGGTGTGCTAATTAGAAGTACATGAGTAGAATAAGTGTAATAAGTAATACAAGTGGAATAAGGAGGCTTTGCAAAACCTGCGCATTTTGGACACATTATTGACACACACATAGAAATAAGGTTTAATCTTTTTTTCATGATTTAGGTCAATCTATATAAACAGATTAACAGTTACTGAAACTATTCTATGACCAGCAAACCTCTACAGTAACATTCCACTATTTCCGTATACAGGAGTAGTTGCAGGCCTGGGAATTTTTTGATGTTTAAAAGTTTCCTGTTTCCCTAGGGCACCCTTATTGTTTTCAGTGCGCTAAGCAACTGCAAAACTTACAATTATAGCAGAGCGTTTTACTAAAATATCAAAGCATGATGCCTTTACCATGATGCCTAGTACTATTAGTGATTGTAAGACAAATTAGCTACTCACACAAAACCTAAGATGTTGTAAAAGTGCTTCAGAAGCATAGAAGGAAGGAGGTGCTGCAGTGAGTGGGTTAATCTCACACTCACAGCCAGTTTCCTGCTGTTTCAAAGCCATCTGTATCTCCAAACGCACTTCCACCATGACGTACACCTTCTTAAGAATACCATCACTTTAGAGAGTGCATGTGTGGAAAATAGGACTTATGTTTTCCACTATATTGCAATTGTGTAAGTTTTATAGAGCAATAAATGTTACGTTAGCCTGTTTTTAATCATGACTGTTTTTATCAGGTGTGGAGAATGTTACCATCCAACTGGACCTGGAGGCTGAGTTTCACTTCACACATCTTATCATGACTTTCAAGGTGTCTTTCTAAGTTTTACACTATACTTATTATACACAAAGCTTTCCCATAGAAACCAAGGGAGACAGATTCAGTGCTGGACAGCTGTAGTTGAGGAATGTGTAGAATAGTTTTGGTCTCTGGAGGACAGTGGGAATGAGGAGGGCTTCAAGAGCAGTAAAAACACCTTTGGTCTGCAGCACTGGTGGCCATCTGGTTATATGCCTGTCATCAACTCTGACACTGTTTGTCATTGACCAGATGCACATTGTACATCCTTCCCAGCTCTGTTCATGACAGAGAAGACACAATTTTCTCGGTTCCTTTGTAACGTGTACTAGTTATTTTAAGTGGTAGCCATAAATTGTAATTACAATATAATTTTGAATTTACTACGTAATGGCTTACTTTCACATTTTTAACCCTTATTTATGCCTTTAAGTTCAGTTGTAAAACGTGTTAAATATCCCTTTATCATCTTTATTTATTAATTGAATGACAATGTGGCATTAGCTTCTGATCAAGAATTGAGTAATAAAACTATGATCTGTTTGTGTCAGTTTGGCAGTTAGAAACAAAACAGCATAGTGCCCACGAGGCCAAGATGTTGCCAAATCCCATAAATAAGGTGCAGACAATATAAAACAGTGATAAAGGTAGCCCACTCAAAGCTTCTCTCCTCTGAATTTAGTCTATTAATATTTACAGACATTTCGGCCAGCTGCAATGGTGATAGAGAGGTCCATGGACTTTGGGAATTCATGGCAGGTGTATCGCTATTTTGCCTATGACTGTGGGTCCTCCTTCCCCGATGTTTCAGTGGGCCCTATGGTCAAAGTGGACGACATCATCTGTGACTCGCGCTACTCAGACATTGAACCATCCACAGAGGGAGAGGTGCATTTTTTTTATATATATTTTGAAGTAAAATAATGTCAATCTACTAATAAAAAAAATATATATATATATATATATATATATATATTTCTTTACATTTGCCAATTTGTAGGTAATCTTCCGAGTGTTGGACCCAGCTTTTGAGATTGAGGACCCCTATAGCTTGAGGATACAAAGTAAGATGCATGCGTTTAACATGGGTTTAGGAATGGTCTGATCAATACAGATTTGTAAAATTATTACTATTATTTAGTCAGTATTCACTATATATTGAAATATTGTAACATTTTGCCAACACCAATATAT